GATGGGATGGGAAAACAACAAAATCAGTAAAATTCAATGTATTCAAATCTATAGAAAAATTTTCTCCAACCATGAAGGTTCATTGTTTACTAGTAACTGGTGGTATTTATGTGGCAAATGGCTATATTACTCATGATAGTATGCCAGACTTGCTAGCATGGCCAGCTGTATCAATTTGTTTGGCCTCATTAACATTTACTGAAAGCGCACATCAACTCCTTGAATACTTTCATACGATTGATTCTCTCGATGATGCAAACCATATTCGGGAACTCTCTTATCAAATTTCCACTGAATGGAAAAAAATAATTAAAGTGCCAACTTTTTATATGAGTCTTAATGACGTTGAAAAGGCTATTAAATTTACAGTTGAAAAATTCAAGTATTTAGTTCACGGAGACCATCGTTTCCTTCAAGAAATCCTCAATAAATCTGCACTCACGTTTTTGTCGCAAAATCTTTTTATTCTCTGTGGTAAGGATTTACATGAAGCCCTTGATGAACTCTTTATGGAAAATGAAGATGAGTTTTATTATAAAGCAGCCTTATTATTTAAGACTGCAGATTCTATTATAGCACTTTATATGAATAAACTTTCTAAATAGCACCGTATTGTCGCAAATAACAGGCATGGGCGTTAATTCGAAAATTGTACCCCTAAAAATAATATATATGGTTTCAAAATAACGACCATGTCGTCCCAAAATAACGCGCACCCCATTATTATAAAAATGTGCCGAAAGTAGATTTAGTACTAAAGTTAATCTACTTTCAGAGCATTTTTTGGTTAGTGTATTTTATATAAGGAGACGCATAAAAATTTTATTTTTTTTTTCCAAAATAACGCCTATGCACGTACTCAAATAACGTGCATATACTCAAACTAGCGCACAAGTGCGCGTTATTGAAATTAACAATATATTTGTAAATTTAAGAATAAATGCATATTATTTTGCAATATAAGATTTATTAAAAGTGTTAATTTATAAATTTATAAATTTATATAAATATAGGATAATGTTCATCGTTTTTAACGTTAAATGTCATTTCGAAATTAATTAATATAAATCTTTATGATAA